TACTTGCAATATGACAGATTTAGCAAAAGTGACAGTTGCTCGCTGTCCAATATCATTAGCCTGCCTGCCACAAGAGCTCAGACATGTTGCTCCATTCTCTAACAAAATCAGCTTATTAATAACCATACAGCCTGGCACAGAATTTTCCATACAGCTGGGGCAAGGTTTTGAGCAAGGGAGTTCCCAATTCCCAACCTATGAAGATTCAAAATTGAATTCTGACTAAGATGAGGTCCAAACAGCAAGCAGGTTAAATGGACTGGCATGTCAGAGGGACTAGGATAGATAAGCATCTGTGCTTGCTTTTATTACTCATCCTTCATTACCTTTATTACTCTGGTCCCTGAGTCTGTGAAGGGAATGATAATCTAATAAAAAGGTTACCCGAGTCAATGAAAACAATGCAATTCATTGGTGTGCCTTGGGCTCAGCTCCCCAAGGAATCAGTATCTCCTTTTCCCTGACAGGGCTCAGCACCTTCCCCAGAGCACTCTGTGGCAGCAGGTATAGGCCAGACTTCTCTTCCACATAGACAGAAAAGAATGCAAAGGAAGAGAAAGACCTCTGCTTCCTATGTACAGGTGTTTGTTTTACAATGTTGAGCTTGGAAGTAATTCTCCGTTGATTCCTGCAACAATATAATTCAGCTAGATAAAAAGCTGGCATAGTCCATGAGGTTGTTGCAAACCATACTATTTGTATTAAGGCTTCCATTTTTTATGTTAAAAAGTTAAAGAACAGAACCAATTTCACTGCTGAAAAAGAACCCCTACAATTTCCCATTTAAAGCCAAGTAGGCAAGATCATGTTCTGAACCTCTGCCTCCCCTGCTACACAAACCATGGACCTGCACCATGGCAGCACTTCCCACGTAACACAGCCCAGGTGAATGATTTCCCAAAGCTCCTCACGGTAATCCCAAGACCAGGTAATTATGTAATAATTCCAAGTAAAATGTTTTTGTTTTAACATACACCTGTGGGAAAAGACCATCCCACTAATTTACAATGAGCTCTTTAAAGACATCCTGGGAAATTTTCCAAGAACTACACCAAAATGGAAGAACATTTAGTTATTTACTTTAGGGGTTTATTAGAATGTTTGAAATAATTCTTGTCCTCTCCTCCCCACAGAATAAAAGCCTTTTTTTCCTTTGTCAGTTTGAGAAACAGAGCTCTGTTCCTGCTGAGGTTTGCATGTGGAGACTGTCACTGGCTGCAGCTTGGAGCTAAACTCTCAGGGCTCAGCCTGCACCAAATGCAGCAGGGGGACAGGACTGGGAGAGGGCAGGGATCCATCACCCCATCCCAAGGAACTTAAACTGCAAGCAGTGACTGGAGTAGCAGTCAAACCCAGCTCTGGGCCAGCTCCAAGCTAAAGCAAGAAGCACAATAGGGTTTAAGGCCATTTTAATACCCCGAAAGGTTCATATGCACCAGAAAGTAATTTTACTGCAAAGTGCATTGAATGGCTTTACATTGGTAAGGTGGGATCAGCACCCTTTCTCAGAGTAGGTACCAGCATCAGGGAGTCAGTGCAGTCCTTGTCTACATCAAAGTAACTCTCCTTCAAGAAGGAAGTTACTCCTTGGACAAAGCATGCCTAGCACTGCTCTGAGACATCCGGTTGGTAGGGGCTTTAACCAGAATTTCCACTGTAGGAAAGACTTAGAAGAGGTGCTGACATCAACATATCCTGACAAGTCAGTGCCAAACACAACAAACCACATCAGCCTGCTTAGAGAGCAGCTCACAGAGGGCAACAACTGTCCAGTGTTCAGACAAACTTGGAGTGCTTTTGCCAAAAGGAGGCTTGCTGTTAGACTGCAAATCCCAGCCCCATTCCACGTTGTAATGACATTTTACATGTTTTATTACCATTTCATAATGGTAATTAAACACAGGCGTGTGCACAGAGAAATCTGTTGATATATAGGGCAAGGCTTACCATCTGTAGGCAGCAAGTGGGACCTTGCAGGCTCAGCTATGGAGCTGCAAAAGCTGCAAAGCCACCAGCACCTCTGTGATCATGTAAGAAAAACTATGCAGCAATGTGATATTTCTTTACCTGTGACCACATATGAAAATTTACCTGTCTTCACTTCAGTGCTTGGGAGCTCGCAGCATTGGATGGCCAAACCCCATTGCTGTCTTTGCCATGCTGGGTGAGCCACTGTCCCAAGTGACAGGGTGTTTCTGCAGCACAGAGAAGCCACCTCTCCTGCTCCAAAGATGGTTATATGCAACACCTGCCACCAAGATGAGATTTCTTCAGCTCATTTTCCCTCCTAGGGTCCAAGTCCTGGACACTGTACACGCCTCCCAGGTGCCTGGGTGGGGGTACAAAACATCAGGGAGCTGCTCCCTGCAAAACTCTAGCAACACAAAAGAAGGCCTAGAAATGGGGAGATGTAAAAGTGGCCACCACACATCTGACTACCCATGACCCCAGGGGTCCAGCCTGGCAACCAGTCCTTGTGCAGCTCCCTTGAGTCTGGAGTGAGAGACTGCCCTCAGGTTAAGCCCCAGTGTTTACACCCATCTCCTCACACAAAGGCCACAGCACCAGTCAGGGACCAGCCAGATCTGTGGGACCACTGGACTCAAGCACAGCAAGAGAAAGAGAAAAAAGATGAAATAGGATACAGGATGTGGGCCCTGGCAGACTGCTATTCCACCTGAGTATCACAAGGAACAAATGCAAAAGCCAAAGTGACATGAATAGTGACATCAAGTGCCTTTTGGATGGTAACAAAAAGAGTCTAAAAATTGAGTACAAGAGATTCTCAGTCCCAGGGGAATACAAGCCTGTATCTCAACCAACTGATTTTTCTGCTGCACAGTTCATTTTAGGACAGCGCTCACCCTCACAATACCAGTTCCATGGCCGGAGGCTGCTCTGGATTCAGACACCTGACTGCTCAGGAACAAGCATTTATGTTTGTGAATAATTCAGATCCCTTGCTTATTTAGGTTCATTTGGGCTCCGTTTCTTGCTCTTGGAATCTTTTGAATTCACAGCTGCCTGTGCTGTGGATGCACAGCCCCCCCTCACAGCCCTTCTGTCTCTGTAGGAGAACCAGTTCCCCCAGTAGCTCTCAGGTACCTGAAGCACATACAGTACTTACAGTGCAAACACAGCTTCCACAATGTAACCCTGAAAAGCTCAGGCACTTCTTTTGTTCATCTTGCTGCAAACCAAGATTACTTTCTGCTCTGAGACACACATTTGACAGCAGCTCCATGAGAGTGCTACGCATATGAGTAACTCTTCCATGACAGTGGCAAGCACATCCAGACCCACAGTCCCAGTCCCAAACAGACATGGACGTCCAGCAGTCATGGACACAATTATCCAGCACACACTCATCAGTCAACATAAACATTTGCACTTGGACAAGCAAACACAGCAACTGTGCTGCAAACAGACACAAGTCTGCAAGTGCAAGAAACAATAGCAAGTGCAAAGAACAACAGCAAAGCCCCAGCAAGTCACATTCTGAATAGTAACAGCAGCCTGAATCATTTGATATAAAGCATTTCACTGCCTGAGCACAGCCTTCTCTCACAAAATATTATTACCACTGTTAAACGAAAGCCATTATGGTTTAAGCACAGCTTATTTTTAATTGTGTTTGAGACATGTTAGACAAAAAGAGACAAACAGCACAGACAAATTACAGAGCTGTTTCACGAAGTAGCAATACCCTAAAATGATCTATTTCAGGTAAGGTGCTGAGTGGCCGTATTTGCTTGAGGAACCATTGCCTGCACTGACATCTGTCACTAATGCTGCAGCCCCTGTTCAGCACCGACATCTGCACGTGCATCCCAACACAGCCCCCCCCTGAGGAACACATCCCTGACTTACCCTTCAGCCAGCCAGCAGCCCCAAACCCTCTGAAAGCTCCTGCAGAAGAGTTGACAGAGTTTCACCTCGTTACCCAGCAAGGGCGTTATATAACCAGCACCATTTCTGCAGGCAGTGAGGATGCACCCCACACACATCCCTCTCCTTCCCATCCCACACGGACACATCCCCCAACAACAGCTGTGCCACAGCCAGCTGGGGGGGCAAGGTGGGCTACAGGGGACTTGTGGAAAGCAAAACTAACGGTTTCAAAGAAAGTTCAAAAGGTGCCTGATGTTTATTAAGAGGCATTGCTACTATGAAAGGAAGTGGTGCAATGGTATAATGTTCCTTAGCCCACTGAAAGCAGCTTGGCCTAGATTTTCCTGTACTGTTTGATGTGACCATTCATGCAAACAGGAGTAAAACTTTCTCTTTGCTTTTAATTAAGCAACAACAACACAACAACAAAAAAGAATGAAACAGTGACATATACAAAACACCTTTTTTGCTGTCATCTGGGTCTTCTGGGCTACTGTCAGACAGAGAATATGCAGGAATCAGCCCCATTGATTAAACTATTATTAGCAGCAAACAAACAGATGTGTTCAGTCAAAGACAGGACAAACCCCATGCTCTGTATTTCAGGACTACAAACAGAAAAACCCCCATTATTTTACCAAAGGTTTATTTGGTTTTTTAGCAAAGAATTCTCCAGCACAATGTGTAGAAGCAAAGTATACAGCAGTTTCACATGCAGGAATTAATATAAAGAAATATAACATTATTGCCTCTGCTCTCTTCCCACAGAACAAACCTCATCAGTTTTTAAAAGACTGGGACCAGGTCCTGTATCTGTAATAATCCTAAACAAAATGTGGCTCGTAGTCATTCAGAACGTTCTGGTGTCCATGAATCACTGGCAGACACCCTACGCAGTGGACAAATGCATGGGGGGGCTGTAGCTTTAGGACAGACATAAAACTCTTATGTAAGCCATAATCCTCTCACAGACTCCTTATTCAGTGATTTTAAGAACAGCGCCGTAGAAGCCTGCTGGCATTCCAGTGGCTTTTAAGCAATTTGAAAATGGGGAGACTCCCATCCCACCCCCTCCCTGACACTGTGCTGCTGTTGGTACCCAGACTTACCTTGCAGGGTTTGGGGGCACAGAGCATTGCTGTTCACCAATATTTTGGTCCTCCGCAGAGCTGCTGCTGTTGCTCTCTGTGCTGAGTGAATCACCAGGATTAATCTCCTGCAGAGTTCACTGAGGCTAATGATAATCAAGTTAAATTTACACTATATGATCAGAGTTTAATTAGGTACTGTTATACAAGTCCTATTAATTACAGCGGTAATACCCTTATGAAATGCAGATGAGAGGGTGGGGCTGTGGTCAGAGGGGGCTTGGCTTCAGATGAATTCAGGAAAAAGTCCCATTAAAATGCTTTGTGTGTCCCTTCAGTTACCTGCTTGCCTCTATCAAATCTCAGGATGAAACAGAAAGCTTTAAAAAAATTATAATCCTACAAAATGTAGTAAGTCTAGAAGATAAATGACCTCCTACATGCTACACTATCTCACTTCCTATATACACTGTGAAGCAAGAATTCAATTTTAAACCCCAATGAGACTCAGTCGTTATTAGCTTGCTCTGCTCAAAATCCTACACAGAGAAGTCCCAGGTGATAGAAGTCATCTATTTTGCATGGAGATAAAGGTAGTCAGGTATTCCTAATATTAGAACAATTAAGTTCCTCTTTTCCTTCCTAAAAAGAGGAACTTAGTTTCCTCCTCTGGATGACCTGTTGAGTAAGAGAAGATGCCAGCTTGTGCTTGGCATTTGCTTTGTACAATCACAACCTCCCCCGGGACACAGACCCATGTGCCCAGGTGCCTCCTCTCCGTGCCCCTGCAGCACTTGCAGGGCATCAGAAGGGTGTGGGCAGAGGCAGCTGATCTGAACCACTCTGAACTCCATCCCCTGGAAACTGGGATGTCTCTGCCAACAAGGTGGAGCCAGGATCTCAGGTGCAGGAGCAGACTCCAGGTTTCAGCAGGCAGTAGTAGCTCCATTGGGAGACATTGCACAGCGTGACATTCCAAGCCCCAGAGCAGGTCTCTACTTCTGCTAAATCTTCTCTGAAACATTCCATAGAAAGAGCAAAGCTTGTGCCATGTGGCTTCCATTAGCATTTGCTACATATGCTGCTGGATGGCTTTAGTGAAACCTGCCAGGGACCATGTGATGTTACTGCCACTAATGTGGAAACACCAAATCCTTGCACCCATATAGTCACAGACACAGATGAAGGTCTCTTCTTCATTAAGTAAATCATCAACACAGATTGAGGCTTGTTAGCCAGAACTGTCAAACCAAGACAAGATGCTGTTCTTGAACACAGACACCTGTATGAGCCTCCTGAGCCCAGGTTCCCTCTCTGCAAAGTGCTTGTTCAGTCACAGGAGAAGCCTTGGCACCTTGCCATTTCTGCCACTGCAGTTAATTTAATTAAAATCCCAAAAGATGGTAGGCACATTTCCTTCTTCCTGTAGGATTTGTCACCCTCTCCCTGTCAGACAGCAGCAAACGAGCACACCTCAGCACTCCCACTTTGCACAAAACTCATGTAAAGCAGCAGTATGTTACAGTAGGCTGTACTAGACATTAATTACCAAGCCCTGCCAGCTATAATTATCTCGTTAAGTTTTGGCTATAGACACTATATTGGCCCTTTACAATATAACCACACAGGATCCAGGAGGAGTCCTTTCCTGGAGTGTACTCTAGGTCCCACCCCACCACTGCAGACAGCCAAACTGTACATGGAGTTATTTGGATGAAATGGCAATTTCAAAGCAGCCTGCATGGCCCTGTGTGCATATTCAAATCTTCCTCCCTGTCTCTTGATGGACAGCTCTTCTGGGCATACACAGGAACCGAGGCAGGAGAGGGAGATGATGGTTTCTTGACAATTCCTTGCTCTGAAGGCAGACCGAGACAGGCTTCTGGCCCAAACATCTCCCTCACAGTCCAGATGTGTATCCTTTAGAAGACCCTGAATCTCTCCCACATGTAGGAGTTTGGCCAAGACTATGAAAGGACCTCTGAAAGGACAGGGCTGGCAGAACACCTCAGATTCCTTGCTGGGATTTTTGCTTGATTTAGGCACAAAGGATTGCTACTCCCCCTCAATCCTGGCTACAAAGTATAGCTGGGACCAGGACATCCCCCAAAAGCCATACCTTGAGGACCTCCACATCCTCATTTCAGCATAGCAGTGCTCTGAGGAGACAGGCACCAGGCTTTGGCCAAGCCTTCAGCCTGTTTTCTACAGTTGTGACACTTTTTGGTCCCTCACTGCTGAGAATGGCATTTGTGACACACTAATGGCAGCACAGCAGAGCTCTGCAGCAAGGCTTTGACTTAGGAAGCAGAGCTGCTCAGCCCACTCTGCTCTTGCTGATGTGGTGACCTGGTTTTGTCAAGACTGTTTTTCTCCTTTTGTCTTTGATGTCATTTTGGAAGGCAAGTCATGAGAATTTCATGGAAGCATTGACTCAAAAGTTGGACTAAAACAAAGCCAATCACAATACCATTATAAATGAATGGGGTGCAATTTCCTCTTAGAGGATTATTACACTATTTTGGGTTCTAACACTTATTTCCACAGTTTAGTAATCACTTTCATGCTTCTCATAGAAATATAATCCATTTATATTTTAATGTAACAAGTTACAAGGATTATCAGTTCATAATAAATATACTCATCCCCTAAAGCATTTAAACAGCCCCTACACTTTCTGAAGAAGATCCTACTTAACAAGCAGACACCTACAAATGAACAAGGAAATTAATACTGTGATGTATGGAAACCCTCAAACTGCAAAATACATGCTGCTTAAATTACTTTTCTGTTAAATTAAATATTTTTCAGCACTATGATTTTTACTTTGAAATTACTCTTACAATGAGAAGGCTTTGGAAGTCTTTGAGACTGCTTTTGCATTGGGAATTTGTTTACCTTGCAGTCTTAAATTTGGAATATTACATTCAACTCATGCATAGGACTATGTCAAATCAACACATCACTCCTGAAAATCCAATTAAGGAAAGCTGTCAATAACAACCAAGAAAAATCCACCGAAAAAAAAATCTGCCTGACTTGCACACTCAGGTCACTCCTAGTGCTGAAGTGCCCATGAAACCACGTCCATCGAAGCCAACTGAAACCCAGTCTGTTAGAGAAATGTGAAAATCTCTCTTGGCCTAGTGGCCTGCAGTGAGTCACAGTATTTTTCTCTTGCAGTTGCCTGGAGATGGGATGGGAGAAAGTAAATATTACCTGTCAAACTAAAGATGTTCCTGCCAATTCATAGAGCTGCCCAACATATTTCTGGCACAATTCTCCTGTAAGCTTCTGGTGCTCACTGCACTTGAAACAATAATTCTGAGAGAGTTGTAAGGCAGAAGTATGAATTACCCTCTGGAGACTTCAATCTCTGAGCTTCAACACATAGTTCAACTTCCCAGTCCTGCCAGTGATGGTGTTTTTCTTCTTCCTTCCACATGCTGTATCTGCTGAAAGTGTTTTTCTCCATAAGAAAATGTAAAATTAATGGTCTAGGTTGCTTTCATATTTCAATTTTGCAGATGTATGTTTCCTTAACCCTTTGCTGTACAGATCAGAGTCACTTGCACTTCAGCAGGTTCACCTATCAAGAACTCCATTCACAGAAGCACAGTTGCTTTGGAGAGTTCCAGGAAAACAGAAGTGCTGCATGTCTATTGTGCAGCTTCTGCAAATACAGGCCATCCCTAGGGAAAGGTAAAGGGAGGAGATAATTATCAGTGAAGTCTTTATTGTTCCTAGAAAATCAATCTCATGAGTCTTTTCTTAGTTGAGTACCAGTTATCCTAACATCCACAAGGCACTGTTTTGTCAGCAGTATCCAAACAGGAACAAGTTGATGAACAGGATATAAATTTATTTCTGGAAAGATTCTTTTGCAATCCTCTCCAGATTTCACCAAAAATAAGTACTTGTGTACCAAGAAGACTTTGCTCAGTTAAAAAAGCCCAATGCAAAATCCACAGCTTTGCAGAGAAATTCTCCATTTTTTATGCAGCGACCTGTACTGATCAGGGTCTGTTTCCTCCCAGCTAAAGCCCTGTGGTCCATCCACACGCTGGAGTTGCAAGCCCATACCTCATTTTAGCTTTAAACAAGCTTCTCTGCATTAATGTGGGGTCAGCTCCAGCTAAGGACCCATCCTTCACACTCCCTTCCTAGTTAGACCAGCACAAACATTTGCAGAACTGTTTCAGAGTGAAAATAGAGTGTTTTTATCCTAGATCAGTGTAGAATCTTGTACATCCTGATACTCTCCATCTGCAGGATTAACAGGCCCAAGACAAAGCATTACAGGTCTCTGCCTTCTGTAGTCTCTTCATGTATCAGAACCTTCTGGCATCCTGGTGAAGTGCACACCAGACTAGGATCACTGTTAAGTGTTAACCATGAATTAAATCCAATGCTGTTTTCTTCACTTAAGGAGCAAACTTGCAAAGCTCCTTAATGCCTAATGAAGCAATTTTACTGTGGCAGGGAATTTTCCTCTTGTGAACTCCATGTTCAAACAAGCTCCCTGGTGAGGTACACACAGGCTGTCTTTTAATACAAACACAAAACTCACATTTAACTTATTAGCTGGGGGAGGAATACAGATGAGGCTTGGATGAATCTCATGAGTCACTGTTTCTGTAGGATAAAAAGCAAGCTTGTCTCAAACAAAATAAAGTCGTTTATATTGTGCATTGCAGATAGAAGTGCTTAAATAATAGAAAGATTAATAGAAATACTTCAACCAATTGTTCTAGAAAAATAGCTTTTGCATTATGAAATAATATTCTTTAAATAAAGAGAAATAAAACATTTCAAATGAAACAGTGTTTTGGGAGAGGAAGACAAATGCAGATTAGTCATGCTTGAATGTACTTTCCCAAACAATACATTGCTTAGAGCTAAGACTAAGACATGCACATACCCCAAGGCACACATGATAAAATAGGGACTCTATATTAGTTTAATTCCTTTATCATTTGCTCACTGCTGTATTTTTCTCATCTCATGCTAAACCTTACCCTGCATAGCACCATATGCATATTCTGCATCCTGACCCCTGAACTCATTCCCTGCTGAACCTTGTGGAAAAATTAAGGGACATGCTCTTGAAGTGTGAAGTAGGACAAAAGCCCAGCACCAACACCATTGAAAAGAAAATGGAATGGCACCATTTAAGAGCAGCACCATCCCCCAGCACTGTGCAAATTTCAACAAGCCTTTATTACTTTAAGTTTTTAGATGTGGAAGGAAATCACGAGACAGAGAAAAGGTATACCTGAAAGAAACTCAGAAAAGTCTAAGGCCAGCTGAACAGTGGCAAAAAATACTGAAATGGGGATTTAATGGACTATTCAGAAGAACTGACAAGGAAGGAAATCATGGGCTACCATGTCTGCAGACCTTGAAGAGAACATCAAGCTAGGCAAAATTAGGTAAAAGTCCAGGTCCAGTTTTCACTAAGTAAAACTGGGAGATGGGTTGAAGCCCCTAAGCATTAAGGCTAGCAGAGGAATCTCTATTAAACACAGGATTTGGTGTCTACCCAAGCCTCAGAGATACTGGGCAAACCCTGCAGATGAGCTACAGCCACTCCACATTTAAACAGGTAGCTGCACTTAACACAAACAGCCATCAAAATAGTTCCAACACCCAAATCATTAGAATCACCTGTGGTTTAAATTTTTTGGCGAGTGCCTACTTGACTATGAAGAAAAAAGCATTACATTGCAGATATAACAAAAGTTTGTAAAGAAAACTCTATGCTCTATCATAATGCTTCATATTAACTTGCTAATTCTGTAGGAATTATTCTAGGAATGGGCTCCAAGTGTGATGTGGTTTGAGAGCAAAGTGGGTTTTTCTTCTTCTGTCAGACACAAAACCACCTACACATCAAAGACTCAGTCCCCTGAAATGAGCAGCATTCCAGCTGTGAAGCCAAACTTCCACTGATCTCTAACATTAGCAGAGCCACATTAATGACTTAAGCATAGTAAAAAAACCTGCATCTTGAGGATGAAGAACTGCAAAGGTATTAAACATATCCTCCATGGTGCCTGCAGCATGGGCCCACACCCACAGAAGTGTTTGCTCTTAATCTCTGACTGCTATTACTCTCACTCATAAATCCTTCTTCAATTACAAACAGTTTTAATTAATAACATACCCCCTGTGCCTATGCCCTGGGCCATTTCCACTAAAACTATTAAACCACAGTGTCTCATGTGGCAACTAAAAGCAGGAACAACCTTTTTTGCAGGCCTGTGAGCAGTTTGTAGTGTGTTAAAAGCACAGCTGCAGGTATGCACCTGATCACCCCTCAAAACAGTGGGCCAACAGGGGAATCATCTGAGCAAGAACTATCCAAAACTAGTACAAAAAAAGGGTTGTGAAGCATGACAGCAAACCTGCCCTAGAAAAAAAATCTCCATCCCAGGCATTCAGCCAGCCAGTCACCAAATTATCTACTTTTATCAGCTTTCCTAGCTCTTTACCCTGGGCATCCTTCCCCACAAAACTTCCCAGTCCATATCCCTGCCTTTTGAAAAAGGACCTTGATTGGCTCTGTCTCGTGGTTTAGTAAC